GTCCGTATGTGGGATCCGAACCCTCGGCGGGAGTGCCGCCGCGCTTCCAAGCGGCGCACTGTAGCAGTGCGCCACCGGGCCGACCCGAAATCACTAATTTTCTGATTTCATTATTCTGCAGTCTGAAATATTAAAGACCTACTTTTGTGTAGTCCTCCTACTTTTACTTCTATTTCTCCTACAGAAACCTTTTGAACACTGAGGTTTAGTTTAATCCCCTCACTTTATAGATAAAATATATAGATCATATAATAACATAGATGATAAAATAACGCAAAAAGAGTTGGATGTTTTCTAGATTTTGACCACTAGAAAAAAAAAGTTTTAAAGTCATCGTTCTCTTTCTAAAACTTATTTTTATTTAGACTGGGGCTTTATATATTTGCCAGAATCAAACAAAAATACCAAGCTATGTATACTGGTCCCCTCAGGAACTCGCTCAGAGCTCTACTGGTCAAACTAGCCTTTTGATCTTTTAAATACCATTTTTCACATGGTAAAAACACCAAGCCAAGGGTTGAGATCCCCTTACCGGTCATCTTTTAAAAAAAAAAAAAAAAAAAAAAACAAATGCACAAGACTGAAAACAGTATGACCTAGACTTGGGGAAATAAATTTAAAAGACTAGACGGAAATATACTAAAATGTTAATAGATACGAGTATAGCTGAGGGGTGAAACACGCGATTTTTAATTTTCTTCTTTATGCTTCTCTATAGTTTTCCAAATTTCCCCACAGTGAACATTTATTACTTTTGTATTCAAAAAGATCTCATTTAAAAAATAAACCATATGACATACGAGAGTTCATTTAGAAAGGCTCCCCATGTTGTGCAAGTTGTTACTGACATGATTCACCATTAAAGGGGTAAGTAAATACCTCTCACTTCCCGACATTGAAATGCTGCTGTTTAAAGCCCTATTACTTTTCTGCTGCACCCTCAACGATGGAATGAATTTCACTTTCTCCTACCGTTTCATTTCTACATACATGCGCGCTTTTAGTTTTTTTCTTAAAAGACAGTGAAAGTTCTCACTAATTTTCAATATTCCATTTTTTAAAACCCATCTCTAAGTTTCTTTATAAGAAAATTAAGGGAAAAACTGTTTTACCCACTAATTACAACTTCGTTAGGCCACCATCACTTTGGCGACGGAAAAGTGCGGCCGGGTAAACTACACGTCCCACCATGCATTGCTGCCTTGTTCTGAGTAGATCTCTACGGAAACAGAAAAAAAAATTCTACAAGTCCCACCTGTTACTTCGTTTCTAAACACCTCCTGCACTTGCAGCTCCAACAGCAAACAAAAACAAAAGCCTCGTGACCTCACGTCGGCTCCAAGAGCCGGATGAGCAGGGGGCCCGGGGTCAGGCGGCACGTCTGCTCAGCGGGTAAATTCTATCAGGCTGCAGCGCTCCCCTCTTCTTTCCGGGGCTGGATGCACGCACAAGCCTTCTCCTGTCTGCATCCAATGGGGGCTCTACAGCCGCACAAGGGAGAAGAACCGGCTACCGTGCAAACACAACTGACTTCCCGGTGCCGGGGCGAGGGCTACCATAGACTAGGGGTGATAGCGACGTGTCCCCGAGAGAAACACCAAGAGGACTCGTCGCAGACGCTGGGAGAAGCCACAACCCCGCTGCGACCCCCTTCCGCAGGGCGCCTCCATTCCACAGAGATCGCAACCCCGACACGAACCGCCGCCCTCTCCGCGCGGTTTTGTGTCCCCTCAAGCCGGGTCGCTGAGCCAGTGACCCTTTCCCTGAGACTGGCGGGCGGCAAGGGAACGAAATCCTCCCGGCTTTCCCCTTCGCTCCCTCCCCCTTACCGTCTTGGCGGCCTCCGCCCAGGTCCTGCCCTTCTTCCTACGGCCCTTTTCCCTCATGTCGGGTCTTGAACTGACTGGGAGGCTCCCGTGTCCGGGCTCCGGCCGCCCTCCCTGCCTGCTCTGCCCTGCGCTGCTTTTCCCGCGGTGCCGGGAAAGGTGGGAGAAAGGGGAAGTCAGGCCGGAGCAGCACCCAAGCAGAGGAAGCGGCGGGGGTGGTGCGCGGGGGGATGAGTCTATGGGGCGGCCGGTTCTCCTGCTGCCGTTGCCACTGCTACCGCCGCTGCCATTTTGGGTTCT